CAAACTGCAAGACAATTATTAGACATCTTTTATGAATTAGCTGGATTGTTCAGATGTATATCCTGCCATTTCTTATTTCTTATTGAATACACCTCATACATACCAAGCATTTTAATTTAATTTTGCAAACATTTAAGATCAAGTAAATATAACTCAGCTGAATCTAGGGAATGTTGTTCCTTTGCTCAGCCATTTCTCTATGCTAATGGCAAGTAGCTTGCAGAAAAGCTGGTTGCATAAATGTATTTAGATTTTTTGTTTTGTTTTGTTTTAAAACAAAATTAAAGCTACAAAACTCCACCAGAATCAAAGTTTTAAAATGGTAATTTGAGTTTACAAGTGAAGTTTACTTTACTTTGTTGAGTTTTAATCTCTGTATTAAATACATGTTATGGATTTAAGATTACATAGCAAAAGCTAGTACTAATGCATGATGTATCTACAAAATAATCTGAGGTGAATGTCTGAGTTGTACTCAAATGTTAAATACAAAGTTGGTCTCTTGTATGCTGCACTAATTTTGAATAAGCATTTTCTGTTAAACAGCATTGCTCATTTTAATGTGACAGTTAATAAGTCTCACCAAGGGATGAGCCTCATTATGCTATGAACAACCAAATACTGTCCACAAACCAAGCAATGAAGGAGTTCAATCTAGGGAAATAATATGGGATACGGAAATCAGTAGGAGAATGATCACAGAGCAGGTGACTAAATCACAGAATCATAGAATCATGCAATGGCTTGGGTTGGAAGGGACCTCAAGGATCATCAAGTTCCAACGTCCTTGCCGTAGGCAGGGTTGCCAGCTAGTACTAGATCAGTACTAGATCAGACTGCTCAGGGTCCCATACAACCTGGCCTTGAACATCTCTGGGGACAGGGTATTCAAAGCCTCTCTGGGCAAACACCCTGGCATTTAATCTAAGTCTAACCATTATCCCTTGTCCTATCTCTATCTACCCATGTAAAAAGTTGATTTCCCTTCCATTTCTAATCTTCTTTTAAATACTGGAAGGCCATACAGCCTTCTCTTCTCCAGACTCACAGGAGAGATGCTCTAGTCCTCTGATCATCTTCATAGCCCTCCTCTGGACCCTATTCAAAAGCTCCACATCTTTCCTGTGTTGGGGGGCACCAGACTTGGATGTAGTACTCCATCTGGGACCTCACAAGGACAGAGTAGACAGGCACAATCACCTCCCTCTCCCCACTAGCCATCCCTTTTCTGATGGAACTGAAGATACCATTGGCTTTCTGGACTACAAGTGCACACTGCTGGCTCATGTTAAGTTTTTCATCTACCAGAACCCTTAAGTCCTTCTCAGCAGGGCTGCTCTCAAGGAGTTCTGCTCCCAGTTTGTATTATCTTGACCTGGGATTATCTCAAAACAAGAGCAAAGCCTTGCACTTGGCTTTGTTGACCTTCATTAGGTTTACATGAGCCCAACATTCAAATTTATCAAGATCTTTTAGATGGCATCCCTTCCTTCTGCTTTCTCAACCACATCACTCAGCTTGGTGTCATCAGCAAACATGCTGAGGGTACACTCAATCCCATCATTTATGTCACTGATAAAGATGTTATAGTACTGCTTCCAAGACAGATCTCTGGGGGACACTGCACAACACCAGACTCCCCTGGGACATAGAGCCATTGATCACAACCCTCTGGCTGTGACCTTCCAACCAGCTCCTTATCCATGAAACTGTGTACCCTTCAAATCCGTATCTCTCATAAGAATAAGGATGTGGTAGGGACCATGCAAGCCAAAGGCCTTGCAGAAGCAAATATATTTACAGAAAAAAAGGAGTGTCAGTGTGTCTTTCTATTTATTTTGTCTTTGCTAAAAAAATAGGATTCAATGAAAATGCAGAACTTAGGTTACACAGAAGCTGCTTGAAAAAGTACATAACAGCTGCATGAGCTTCAGTAGAGCTAAGGCGAGTTAGCAGCCTTTCCCTTCAAAGAGTGATGTATTTCAAAACCATTAAAATTAGTTGCTAGACCAAATAGTTTTTTGCATGAAATAAACTATTCAGAAAGGTGTGATTATATCATAATGTATTTCAGGTATATTTCTATGTACTTTTATACGAAGCAAAATCTAGTATCTGTGGAATTCAAAATTGATCTGTACTTTTGCAATATGCTTATATGTGAAAGAAGCAGTAGCCAGCTAGCAGTTATTGTGCTGAACTACCAGACAAGAAACGTTATTTTTCTTCTTATGTGAACCAGTAGATTCAGCTAGAGCTCAGAGCTTCACATTGCTTTCTGCTTGTAAATGATGGCTACTTTAAACCATTAGTTATGGTTTATTTATAGAATAAAACAGAGTTCACAATTAAATGCCAAGTTGTAATTGAATCAAAGGATTCTGCTGATGCCTTGGCTCACAAGGGTGCAGCTCAAGAGTTTTATAAAGAGCAGCAGAATGTGAATAAAAATTACAGCCCCTCGTCTTCAGTCTGGGATCATGCATTATAATGTGTAATATGGCTAAAAGGATTATTATAATACTGTAATAAATAAAAAGAACATGTATCAAACAGCAAAACTGAGAATGCTTGCAGAGTCTTTCATTTTGTTATGTGGGGGGCTAAAGATTATGCTGTGTGAGAAATAAGGGAAAAGGAAGATGATTTTATAAACACATTAATGTTTTTCAGAAGATATTTTCTAAAGTTATTCTTAAACAAAAGAAAAATATATGCTTCATAGATTAATCTACTGTAAATTCATAATGATTGTCTACATGGCTAATAATGATTTTTTCCAGATTCCATATAACTATTTCCTGGTATGAAACAGCAGTAATTATGCTATAGAAGGAAAATATTAGCTTGTGTATCTTTGGTGCCTTATTAAATAAGCTTATAAACTTAAACAAAAAAATTAAAAGTTAACCAGTATGGAAATAATACAAAAAATCATATATTGTATTTTTTTTTCTAGTACAAAAAATGTCTTTCCACAAATATGGTTCATTGTTTCCCAGAACCAGGTCACAAAGACAATATTCTTTTATTCATGAAAGAAACCTGACTGAAAAAACATATATTTTTATGCTAAAATAAGGGTTATTTTTGATACTGATTTTGTTGTTGTTTAGAATGTGTTTTCTGAATTATTAGTAAAGGTTTACAGTTTATAATTTTTTTCTTATTGTCTGAAAATCCACGGTGTACCTCTTGGCTTCAATCACTGACCTCAATCAATATGTTGCTATAGACATTTTGAACATCAGATATTTAACCTGTTTCTTCACATCAGGCTATAATGCTCCAGAGTGGTCATGGTAACACTGCACGGTTATGTTGTGTTGATATCTTTCTGCAGTTTCTTCTGACCCCCTCCAGTGTAAGAGATGAAAAACTATATCTCAGGATGGATTTTCTCTGCGTATTTAGGGGGCAGTGCTTTACAGATCTTACTGAAACTGCCAGTATTCGTGACATATTTAGACACCTTGAACTTTGTCAGATATGTGTTAGCAGACAAGAACTACTTGGAAAAAAAAAATCACAGAATCAGAGAATCACAGAATGGCCAGGGTTGGAAGGGACCTCAAGGATCATGAAGCTCCAACCCCCCTGCCACATGCAGTGCCACCAAATTTCTCATTTAATGCTAGACCAGGATGCCCAGGGCCCCATCCAATCTGGCCTTGAACAACTCCAGGGACAGGGCATCCACAACCTCTCTGGGCAGCCTGTTCCAGTACCTCACCACTCTCTCTGTAAAGAACTTCCGCCTGACGTCCAACCTAAATCTCCCTTCCCTCAACTTAAAACCATTTCCCCTCATCCTGCAGTTATCAACCCTTTCAAAGAGTTGATTCCCCTCCTGTTTGTATTCTCCCTTTAGGTACTGAAAGGCTGCAATGAGGTCACCCCGCAGCCTCCTTTTCTCCAGGCTGAACAAGCCCAGCTCCCTCAGCCTGTCCTCATAGGGGAGGTGCTCCAGTCCCCTGATCATCTTCGTGGCCACTCTCATAGTAAAGAACTTACAGGATGAGGGAAAGGGTGGGGAAAGGTTGGTGTCTTGTTCTCTCATAACTATCAATCTAACATATACATGGGAAATCACAGATGAGTAAAGTCTTATTTACCATGCCCAGGAATATAAAAAACATTTTTAATACGAAGTTCAATTAAGCTTGTTTAAAACTGTCATTTCTTTTTTTCTATAAAGCATTTTGTTCTGAACTGAATTCCAACAGTGCAAAAGACAGTTATTATAACTGTTCTCAAGTTCCTATTATGACCATCTAGCTGAGATCATAAGAAATTACTTCCAAAAACATCTTTTCAATGTACACTAGTAGATACTCAAGAAAAATTAAAAATCATACTATATACTCAGTACATTTCTGCCATTCATGGGTTATGAACCAAACCAGTGATCCAATTTGACATTTTTTTCTTGATTTCACACAGGTCTATACATGAAGAATCCACACCAAATTTTTTGTCTTGTTGATCACTGAAGTATGATTTTGGTGAAATCATACAACGAACACAGCACTAAAATTCTCTATCCTTCAGAGGTATTAACAGTCAAAGGAAAAATATGCAATATGCAGAGCAAATCTGTTGAAACATGTTATCATAGCTTAATAAGGTATTAATTCAAACTTTTCTCTTTCAGTTGTCAAATTCATCCAAAATTACTTTTTACCATCATCACTTAGGTGTATTTTTCCCAAGGGTATGCCAAAGGACTGGACAGTGTTTTTCTTGAGTGTTATATTAAAACTATTTTTATCTATATCCATTTCACTTTTTTCAGTGTGCATGAGATTTAGTAATTCAAATATTTGAAAGAAGAAAAATAAATAATAATAATAATTGAGCAATCCAAACAAAATTATTTTAATATAGACAAATGCAGAATGCTTCATGTATATTTACCATGCTGCTGAATAAATGATCCTTGCATTATTTGTTTTAAGCTGAACAGGGCAGTAGAACATTTTTCTACTGGCTTAGCTTACCTCCCCTTCTGTAGACTGTAAGTGCAGTTCTTTTCTACATGTAGCCTTTAAATCTCCTGCAGCTGCATTGATTTGCACTCCCCTGGGTGCTTCCATCACCAAAGATCTAGTTGGAGATTCAAGTCTGAAAGACAAAAACAACCACTGAGGAAAAAATACACTCAATCAAACCAACAAAAAAATCAACCAGACTTAAAAAGTACAGTACCACAATGCATGTAGATACAAATGTATTTTGAAAGTTAATGAAGCAGAAGTGAGTTGTTATACATACACATGATTCTCTCACTATTCTCTATAGCCCAGAGAATAAAAAAAACGTCTGTGTTTAAATCTATTCCTGCCTGGGACAGCATTTAGGCATATAATGATATACAAGTGCCTGCCTACTGATGTTTGCCTATACTAAAACTGAAATACAGGAACTTACAATTTCATGTATTTCTGTGAATGCTACTGTAATGGCAATTTAATAACTAAATTTTGCTAAGTGACCAATGGTAAATATTCATCTCAATAAAAATTAAGCAAAACACTTTAACAGTTTTAAATAATAATGTAATACTGAATAGAATAGCTTTGCCTTCACAGGCTTATTTGTATTTCATAGAGATGTAGCAGCATTATGTATGAAAAAAGGAAAAGAGTACCATTCCAGTCTCTGTTACTGTGATTTTTTGCATGCCCTTTTTCTGTTCTGCAAAATACTCATTATGCTCTTGAATACTGATATAATAGGGTCAAACTACATATTACTGGGACTTGGTATCTCTCCCTGGTGCAACTATTGTTGTTCTACTCCTGACAGATTTTCCCTTTCTTTCTGTACTCTATACTCAAGATTCTCAATTAAGCTTAGTGCAGAACTAAGATACCTTCTCATCTATATTCTGTCTCAGTATGCTGAGATAGATCTCTTGAATGGGAAGAACCACTGCAAGGTTTTGATAGTAGTAGTGTTCACAGACTGAATAGGAAAGGTGATCAGATGTACTGAACTGGAAAACAGAAAAATGGATTCTGGATGGGTTCAGTGATAGACTTATTGCATAGCCCTGTCAGGAATGAGACAAATCTTTTAATCTATTTGTATCACAGTAATATAATGACAGAACACAGTTCTTACTTTACCTGAACAAAGGCTTTTTGTAAGATGAAATATGTTAGTGATAGAAATAGCTAGAGTGAACAGCTCAATAAAAACATTGCATTTCCCTCTTTAACAAATCGTATTCTGAATGTTAGGTCAAATCTATTCCAAAGTATAATGAGGTACTAGGCATGTTATAGATATGAGTAGTTCATCAAAGAATTTTGATATAGAAAGTCAAATGAAAGGTCTATCAGGCAGTGGAATAACAGAATTTCAGCATATTTCAACCACTTTCTTTTTTTTTTTCTTTTTTTTTTTTGTGTGTGTACAGAGTAGTGATGGATAATTTGAAATCAAAATGCCACAGTTGCATGTAAAGAAAGTTACCAAGATGGTGTCTGTGAAATATTTCTGTTCATTATATGTCACTCACATTCAATGGGACAGAAGGTGGAAACACACAGAAAAATTACTTGGTAGCACAAAATGAGACTATTAAAAGCAGGTGTTCAGGTAAAAAAAAAAAGTATTTTTTGTAGATAGTAGAAAAATCTGTATTTTTTACATGCTTTCAATTTTATTTTTTTTTTAAGTCTATATAGGAAAAAATTAACAGATCATTTTTGTGCTTCTTTGTAGGGAAGAATCTAAATATCATGAATTTTTTAATCATGAACTTCAGTGTTTTTCAGCTGGTTGTCTGATGCGAATTTCTGATGGCTATAAGACAACAGAAAAAGAGTTTCCAAAACTTTTTAGAAACCATATACATTCACTGGAAACAAATGAACAAACAAAACCAACAAAACAACAAAAAATAACATTCAAAGAGAAAACCTATTCGTTTGCAATGGAAAGTATAACAGAATGCTGCTGCTCACAAAATACTGAGTAACGCCAATACAGAGAAACAGAGCTGCATACCTAATTTCCAAATATCAGAGCCAATTTAACCACTGCTATAAATCAAGAAAACTTCAGTATGTACAAATTGTGTCTATGTAACAAACACTTTTTTGGTATGTGTGTTTGAAATTTGCTGAAAGGGTGTGTGTAGCAGAGAAAGCTATTGTACTAGTTCCAGGACAATTTAGGTCAGACTTCTGCAATCCAGTCAGCATACACAGACTTGAACTGCAAAGATCATAGTTCGGTAGTGTTAGAGTACAGTAGCAATCTGATGAAAAAAAAAAAAAAAAAGAAGAAGCCATATTCAAAAAATGCCTGGCATTTAGGCATTTCTGTGTAGAATGTTTAGAAATGAGGCTTTTGAAGTACTATGTTGGCTTCATGAAATTTTACTTTGAATTTCAAAGGAAATTGAACTATGCAGTTCAATGTTAAATGTTTGGATATTTCCATTCCATCCATAATTTTCAGCAACATGATTTTGTGACTTATAAACTAATTTCTCAGAATCTTATGATTTCCCACTGGTTTCAGCTCCCATCTTCTAATAATTAGGGTAAAAAATGTTCCTTAACTATATTCATTACACTGAATATATAGATTTTAGCAAACAAAACAAAACAAAACAAAAACTAAAAAAAACACCCAAATATTTCTGGTTTTATATAATCAAAATCACTCGTAGACATCAGAGATTTTCTAGTAGGAAGACAGAAAAAGTCTATTTAGGAATATCAAACAAAAATAATTTATAATTTTGTTTGAAAAATTAACATTTTTTTCCAAAGCACAACAAAAGTTGAGTTGTTCCCTTCTGTTTCATCATTGTTGTTCATTATCTATGTCAATTTTAACAGCTTCCTATTTGTCTAAAATGAAGACATTTGGAGAATTAATTTCTGAAATTGAGAAGTTGTTAATATCAGACTTCGACATACTCTGGAGAAGTTTATTTTTCAGGCAATAGATTTTTTTAGCAGTTTCCTGAAATCAAATGTTTTGGTAGAAATATCAGTGAATGGCTGATGATCAGAAATAGCTTTTAAAATACTACCCATCTATTAATAAAACTGAGTGCCTATATTTGTTTTAACGGTTACTAATGTACTTTTTTTGTTATTATTCTTCAGAAGATACATATCTGAAAAGTGTCTTAGTTATGCAATCTTCTGCATGCTATTGGAAACAGAAAAGCCTACACACTGAGAGATTATTTCCTCAATCTTTTCAGATAAATTATATTTGATATGCAGCTTCTTTAAAATATTTTTGTTATATTTCTGAAAGCTTTAATCTCTATTATAATACAATTGTAACACTCCACGTTGTAATTTATCCCTTTAAGGAAAAGCACATTATTAGAATAGCAAACCAGAACTTTGCTCTCCTTTCAGATTTACTGATGGCTTGTCACATTGGCTTTTACTTCACTGAGATAATCTGAATTGTACAATCATAGAATCATAGAATGGCCTGGGTTGAAGAGGACCACAATGTTCATCTAGTTTCAACCCCCATGCTATATGCAGGGTCGACAACCTCCTTGGGCAACCTGTTCCAGTGTGTTACCACCCTCTGTGTGAAGAACTTCCTCCTAATATCTAACCTAAGCCTCCCCTGTCTCAGTTTAAGTTCCGCCTTGTTCTATCACTATCCACCCTCATAAGCAGCTGTTCCCCCTCCTGTTTATACACTCCTTTCAAGTACTGGAAGGCCACAATGAAGTCTCTCCAGAGCCTCTTCTCCAAGCTAAACAAGCCCAGTTCCCTCAACCTTTCCTCATAGGAGAGGAGCTCCAGCCCTCTGATAATCTCAGTGGCCCTCCTCTGGACCCACTCCAAGAGCTCCACGTCCTTCCTGTACTGGGAGACCCAGGCCTGAACACAGTACTCCAGATGGGGCTTCACAAGAGCTGAGTAGAGGGGGACAATCACCTCCCTCTCCCTGCTGGCCACCCCTTTTTTAATGCAGCCCAGAACACAGTTGGCCTTCTGGTCTGCAAGCACACACCGCTGGCTCATGTTCAGCTTCTGGTCCACCAGGGCCCCCAAGTCCTTCTCCACAGGGCTGCTCTCAAGGCAATCTTCCCCCAGTTTCTATATGCACTTGGGATTGCCCCAGCCCAAGTGCAGCACCCTGCACTTGGCCTTATTGAACCTCATCAGGTTTTCATGGGCCCACTTTTCCAGCCTGTCCGGGTCCCTCTGGATGGCTTCCCTTCCTTCCAGTGTATTGACTGCACCACTCAGCTTGGTGTCATCCGCAAACTTGCTGAGGGTGCACTTGATGCCACTGTCTATGTCATTGATGAAGATGTTGAAAAGCACTGGTCCCAAGACCGACCCATGAAGGACACAGCTTGTGACCAGCCTCTACCCTGACACAGAACCATTGATCACAGGCCTTTGGCTGCATCCAGCCAGCCAATTCCTAATCCACTGAACAATCCATCTTCAAATCCACACCTCTCCAATTTAGAGAGAAGGATATGGTGATGGACCATGTGAATATAATATTGCTTATTATACAATATAATGCAATATAAATTTGTATAATTTTATATAATATATATTTATCTGTATATAATATGTATATTATATTAATATAATTTTTAAATAATATAATACAATATAATTTTGCTTTCCTAACCAGCACACAGCTGTGATGGAGAAGGTAACTAGTGCTATTAGTGAACAGAATCTACAACACTCTAAGGAAAGATGAAGAAAGGTTTAAAACTGCACTTTCAAATAATATAATCTGTCAATTCTTACATGTGATTCAGAAAGATCTATCGAGAATGGAGAAGGGCTTTTTTTCTTTTTAATTATCAAGGGCTAATTTTAAAGATGAATTTTAGAGGATCAAAGCAGCATGGATTTGGGCTGAATTCATTAAAGCATTATTGCTAAAAAAGGAAAGTTTTCAAATATTATGAGTATGTTACTTTGAAGGTATTAAAATATTTCACATCAGAAATACAGAAACATCTATTTTTCGTTTGTTATTTCCTGTTTACAAGCTGACCTAAATCGTATTAGAGAAAAATAATAATAAAAAAGAAACAAAAGGTTTAATTTTAGGTTTTTATAAATAATTTAGACTTTTTTCTTGCACATCCC